GATATAAGAAGGGTCGCTTCTCTTGTCACACTTTAGGATTCAAGGGAATTGATTTGCGATTCATTTATTATGCTAATTGGCCAATTCGGAAAACCTTTCAGGAAAAACAGGTGATGAAAAACTGAACGAATGTTATCTTTCGAAAGTGTGTGATTCTTTCACTTGATTAAGTGGCAGGGAATCTAGGTAGTAATCGATGGAAGAGGGTCTGAAATCCATCACTGCCATCTGGCTGGCCAATTAGTCTTTACTTTGAAACATATTTATTTCACTACTCATGAATTCATTGCCACCTTTTAAAGGTAACCTTCACATATAAATATCACACAAGGAGATGGTTTGTCAATTTTCAAAATGGCCACAAAGTGATCAAGACAACTGTGGCAGGAGGTGGCTGTGACAAACTGCCATAATTTACAATATAAGTTGTTCACTGGTTACGAGGGGGACATGGGTTGATGTACCCTCGATGTTTGTTTATGTTCCCTGAGCCCGAAGGGCAAGGGGGACATAAACAAAAATGGAGGGTACATCAACCCATGGGCCCCGAGGGACCAGTGTACAATGTATTTATCTTACCGAACACCTTAATGTTAATTTTGAATTGTTTGAAGCACGGGTACAAATCTTTTTGTAGCCATTGCTAGATTTTGCTGACAAGAAAAACAGATTTAGAGTTATCTCCAGACCATCGATTTGCATTCGCAAAACATCGGTAATTTTCATACATGATATGTGATTCAATGTTGTTCGAGATAAAGAATTACTACCACGAAGTACCAAATGAGTTGCCATTGGCAGCGGGGTACATTGAAATGTTACACTGAAAATAATAGAAGAGCGCTCAGCCCCTCAGAAAGCGACATTTATGTGTGAGGTAAGACAATGGTCTTTATAGTTGTACCTTTAACAGTACATCTCATCAGGACTCTCATCTTAAAACTACACCTGTTGTTGAAAGGAAATGTTTACGTATAAAAATTATATTTTTGTTTGTTGTTTAACGCCACACTCAGCAATATTCCAGCTATATGGCGGCGGTCTGTGAATAAATGAGTCTGGACCAGACAATCCAGTGATTGACCATATGAGCATCGGTCTACGCAACTGGGATATGATGACATGTGTCTCCCAAGTCACGATCACATTAATCGCCTCTTACTACAAGCATGGGTAGCTGAAGACCAATTCTAACCTGGATCTTCATGGGTCTATAGAAATTATAACTGTTTTCAGTACAAATGATGTGATTGGTTTGTGGAACAAGCTGTAGAGTAACTGAATCTTATAAAGAGGGCACCACAAACTTGAACATAAAGCCTGATGGTCTTTCTAATTGTAGTCATTTTGCAGTTAAACCTTACACAGAGAATACGAATTTGCTTTTGCAGGATTTGCAGGAGTTTCACCAGTAACTGTCAACACACTTACTTCAAACTGTTGAAATGTTCGCAACCCTTACATGACAGCCGAAATTTGACCAAATCTAATATCATCGAACTAATGAAATGTAACAGAATATCAGACAGGTTATCGGAGACAACCATCAGATACCTATCAGACCAATAGTTGCTATGACCACAGAGGTTTTGACAATACAATTAGATGGATGTATAAAACCACATCTGTTCTATAGTATATGTAGGCGTTTTATGGAGCATTGAACTGCGAACAGTTCACATATAAGGTGTCTTAATGTGGCTGTTTTACAGAGAATTGATGAAATTTCAGGTTAAATGATGTCAATGACTGTTTCTGTTGAATTAATCTACACAATGGTTTTGAAGTCATGGGCCAATGGATGTCGAGACCTTTTCCCTTGAAGTGTATGATCCCTTCACATTCTGTCATCAGATGTAAAGAAAATACACACGTCTTTACCCTTGAATGATCATTGCAGTAATTCCCTCACAATCTGACCCAGAAACCATCAGACGTGTCAAAATGATTTTTTACAGGGCGTAAATATCCACTGAGATGGATTTGAAAGCTTATTAACTCTAGTGGCCTTGTTTTTCATCCAATACATATATGGCTTCAGAAACATGAAACTGCTACGACAGGGAGGTGGAGGACTGCGGAATATTGGGTCCCATGACTTGATCCATACACGTGGGAATACATAGACGTACAATTGTGTTGATAAAAAGGCATATCCAGTGAAGAATGTCTGACTGTCACTGCAATGTCACCCCAAGCCTTCATTACAGTTCAAGGATTTTAATCGGCTACAAGATAAGGAAAATAGTGTACAGCGAACTTCAGTATTATTTGACCTGGGCTTAACAGGCTAGAATATTGAGACCTACTCATTGATGAACTCTTGATTGTCATCCACATATCGATACTAAATTGATTTCAAAATCTCAGTATTTCTTTTTATCACAAAGTTTCAAGAAGCTGATTGAGTTTAAGTTCAATATTGAGGAAAATTTCAACCACAGCAACACACAGAACAACAGGTAACAGACGCATCAGCTATGAATTTCTTGTACATGAATTTTCATCAAGGTCACCGTGACCTTGAACAGTATGGCCACAGCACACTGCACAAATTAACAAGACCTTACGACAAATAATACCCCCATGAATAGGTGTCTGTCTTGAATATCAAATATGACCAGCGTTGAGGAGGTGGTGGTACTTGCTCACATGTGAAATTATTCACGTTATTCAAATACGGCATGTTCCGGCATGTTACAGTGCTAGACAGAAACCATGATCTAGCAAATACATTTAATCCTATGTTCCAGGACATATAAAGATGAGTCCTCATAGTGAACTGTTACTTCTTGATTTATGGGACACGAGTCAAGGTGACATTCATCATATGCAAAACCCATGAAGATCCGGGTTAGAATTGATCTTCAGTAACCCATGCTTGTCTCCTCCCCGTGAAGATCCAGGTTAGAATTGATCTTCATGCTTGTAGTAAGAGGCGACTAACAGGATTGGGTGGTCAGGCTCGTGGACTTGGTTGACATGTGTCATCATATCCCAATTACACAGATCAATGCTCATGCTGTTGATCACTGGATTGCCTGGTCCAGACTCAATTATTTACAGACTGCTGCCATATAGCTGGAATATTGCTGAGTGAGGTGTTAAAAACCAACCTACCAAACAAAACTCCACTCTGAGTTATAAGCTACTCAGGAATAAACACTGCATCTTCACTATAAAGTGTTAAAGATTTTAAAAACTAAAATTTGGGAATTAATTCTGTTGGTTGAGCAGATGCAAACTTCATACACCTATTTTGTACACACACTTCATATTAATCTGTATCTTCTAATGTCAGCTATGGTGGATGACCCACAAACCCTGCATAAACATAATTAGAATATTTGTTCAAACGTTCATTAATCCATACTCAACAAATGAGAGGTTACAGGAAGCTTGTAATCGTTTGCTGAGCAATTACAGATGGCATGTTTGTGAAAGATACACCCAGACTCTGAATTTATATGATTATGTCGGATGACAAACACTAATTGGTTAAGCAGCCTTGGTTCACTATTTGATTACGTCTCTCAAGTAAATGTGCAATCACTGAACAAACGTGTTGCTTAATAGGTCATCTCCTGAAGTTACTAGGGCATTTAAACCGACAAATGAAGCTAAACTTTACATGTGAGAATTTTCTGTAGTTCATTTTTTGTATTTGTACACATTTTTTGTTGATGAAATTTTTACCTAAAATACATGTTCACTTTCATTTTACAGTGTATTGGTAAGCACAGAAACATTTTGGTTGACAACTTTCATGTGGAATTTTAGAAACTGTGAGCATTACAGAATGGTACTGGATGAAAAACAAAATCACACAGTGGTGTCTTTTGATATGAGCTGAGGTGAAATTGGGTTTAACGTCCTGCTTGAGAATATTTCGCTCATATGACGACGTGCATGCGTGTGTATGTGTATGTGCGGCTGCTTGTACTAGCCCAGACTTAAGCTGGTTTTATAGTGCTAGCCCACTGAGATACCATGCCGCAGTGAAGCATGAATACCCCACTCAGACTCATTATACTGACTCCTAGCCAACCAGTCCTTGTTGTACCCATTAATGCCGAGAGCCAGGCAGGGACCAACAAGTACCATATTTTAACGTCTTTTGGTATGACGCGGTCGGGGATCGAACTTGTGACCTTCCGCTCTCGGCTGATGCTCTAACCACTACACCACGGAGGCGGTCTCTTTTGATATGAAATATACCTAATTCATCAATACATGTGGAAGCTTTGGAGGTTTACAGGTTTATTGCCTCATGAACAACAAGGAGAGTTCTATGGATATTCAACTTCTTCATTATTAATATGAGTGACGTTTCGGTGTAGCTACTTGCTTGATAACAGTGTTAGTAGCTACACCAAAACGTCGCTCATATTAATAATGAAGAAGTTGTATATATATATATAGAATTCTCCCCATTGTTCATCACACAAACTTCTATATGCCACTCAAAGAAGTTATTAGTGAATGGTTCTCGCTTTTAGCAATATTCCAGCAATATCATGGCGGGGACACCAGAAATGAGCTTCACACACTGTACCCATGTGGGGATTGAACCGGGTCTTGGCCGCTTTAACCACTAGGGCTAGCCCAAGAAGTTATTGACTCATGTTGAGCCACATAATAAAACAGAGCGTCAGATTAGTTGGTTCATTTTCTTGGACTGTCAAGCAAAATGTCTGATTGTTCCTTTTCAAATTTGGTTATGGTATAGAAGAAAGTCCTTTGAAAAGTTGGTACGATAAAGAAAATGACCTACTGCCTTTTGTCTGTCAAAAACATGACATACCACTCAACTTTTGTTTGGGATGTATATGGAGATATATATATTGTATATTGATAATAGTATGGTTGGTTGTTTGCTTCTTATAAGCACTCAGGTTTCTTTGGGGCCTGTCGGAAGCTGTGTATAAACTGTGATGTTATCAGTTGGTGACACTGTGTCATGTGGCATGACAAATACTGTTCGTAACACCTACCAAGGGTGCAATATCAAAGAAGCAGTAGCCATGCTTTCCCTAGCACCGATGTCTGTCTTCTTCGTCCTCAGCATCTTTACTGTTCGATTCTACCTGTGCTATCATCATCAGCACACGATGGAGTCATCGTCTTCAGCATCTTCCTCGATTCATGTGACCGATGAGGTCTTCCAGATCGGGCGAAAGTTGTCTCTCTTCCGTCTCTCCCATCCCATAATCCATTGCATGGTAAATGGCAAGCCCAAGAGCCTGGACAGCCTGGAACAAAAACACCACGATGAATAAAAACATCAACCCAATCTTAATGTTTTACTTGAACAAATCCATATCAACAGATTTTTAAGTGATTTCGTTTGTGGCATTTGCTTGGCTGATGAAACGAAACAAAAATTACACCATTCACCAAAAGATAGACTAACATCTAGTTTCTGAAATGAAATGAATACATTTTATAGAAGAAAAAAAACGGTTCCTGAATTATATTGATAAAACAATAAAAAGGAGCCCACAGACTTTCTATATTTTCAGCCTGAAACCATGGTAATCTAGACTTACCAAATGTTCTAGACTTGCATGGGCTGTATTGGGTATATTTGTGTCAGGGTCTGTATGACTGATTGACTAACAATAAGACTACCTTTTCTTGACTGTTAAATGGGATGGGATGCGTTGCATTATTGGCTGAGTGAGTATGGTTTTACGCCGCTTTTTGCAATATTCCTGCAATATCGCGGCAGGGGACACCAGAAATTGTTCTCATGTAGGTAATCAAGCCTGGGTCTAAGGCGTGATAAGCAAACACTTTAACCACAAGGCAACTCTACCGCCTCTTCCGTGGAAGATTCATTGACTTCATGAATCTTGTCTACATATTCTTTTATGTGCAAATGAGTGAGTTTAGTTTTACACCTCTTTTAGCAATATTCTAGCAACATCATGGCAGGAGACACCAGAAATGGGCTTCACACACTGTACCCATGTGGGGAATCGAACCCTGGTGACGAGAAACCGCTATGACAACTAGACAACCCAACCATCCTTTAAGTGTTAATGAACAGATATGCCGTGAGAAAGAAATGATGTCAGCATGTTTCAGCATTTTTCACTTACGACAGTGTTTATTCATTACAGTGTATGGACCAACTTAACACGTCTTCCCTGCCAAACATTCACATCTTCCTGTACCCTGAATGACTATAGGTTGTGGTTTCATCACCTCTATGTAACGACACATCTCGGGTGTCCTCCGATGTTGACTCGAACTCAAGTGTCATGTTTGTTCGAGACTTACTACACTTACACACTGTAACATGTCCACAAGCAAAGTCCCAAATTAGGTCCAGTACAAGGTCAATATCGTATTTTGAGACTGAGCAAGCTGTCACAGACACATGCAAAAAGTGTGAGAGGAATTAATAGTGTTTGTTGTTTTCATGATGGTGTTGACTCATAGCTTTTGTAGACATTCTGTAGCTGGGTAATGTTGTAAGAGGCGACTAACGGGATCGGGTGGTGCTGGCTTGTTGACTCATGTCATCGGTTCCCAATTGGTAGATCGATGTTCATGCTGTTGATCACTGGATTGTGTGTTATTTACAGAGTCATATAGCTGGAATATGAGTGTAAAACTGAACTCACTCATGAGTTTATATGTCAACATGATCATTCTTCATGCTTTCAGGGACCTGTGAAGATCCAGGTTAGAATATTGATCTTCAGCAACCCATACTTGTTGTAAGAGGGGACTAACGGGATCGGGTGGTCAGGCTCGCTGGCTTGGTTGACACATGTCATCGTATCCCAACTGCATAGGTCGATGCTCATGTTGTTGCTCACTGGATTGTCTGGTCCAGACTCGATTATTTACAGACCGCTGCCATATAGCTGGAATATTGCTTAGTGCAGCGTTAAACAACAAACCAACAACCAATCATACTTTCGGTCTCCTCCTCCTCCTCATCATCTTCACAGTAATAAAAATTGGCACAAGTAGTTTTGTTCATGCCAAATTGCCCAAGAGTTAGTTCATCAAAAGGACAAGTAGAAATTTGCCTTTTTTAAGGTTTTATCAATATGAAGTTTCTTCTGCATCATCATCATCATCATCATCGTTATCATCATCATCATCATCATTATCATCACAGTAACAGAAATTGGTATAAGTACTTCATTCATGCCAAATTTCCCAAGAGCGCATTTATCAAAAGGACAAGTAGAAATCATCATCATCATCATCATCATCATCACTGCCATTATAATTTTTGTTATCATAATCACAATGAACTACATAGATTTTGATATTTATCTGAACATATATCAGCCAAGTAACCCAATACCTTTAAAACAACAGACCAGGGATTGAGTCCATAAAGCAATCACAATGCTGCAATGATCCAAGTCTGTAGTAGAGGATGAGAATAACAATCGTCTCACTACAATTACTTTGTAGAACAGCACCAAGTTCCATATATGAAACACCAATGGACCAAAATTCTAAAGAAAAAGAAGGTCACTTGGTATTTTAAAGGGGTAAATGACCAAGGTCCCCTACAACGCCATAACCACCATCTCCACACAGTGTTTGCAATACTTTCATTTGCCAGTTGGCCATCAGGGCCTGCTGGCGTTGAAATCTACAGGCCCTGAATAAAACCTGCAGGCCCATTTTGTTAAAGTCAAACCAATAAAAACAAAATAGACTACACTGTACAGTTTCACACTGTTTAGTTCTGTCATTATAACCAGTACAACACTGGAAATATGGAATGACATCAAATTCCTGTTGAAAAAAAAATTGACAGATAATTTACTGAAGGCCACAAGGGCCTGCAAATATTTGAAACTGCCGGCCCGATACAATAACAACTGGTGCCGGGCCTTTGGGCTGGCGATTATTTCGAACGCTGTCTCCACACACTCAATACCCTCTTCACCATACTCATCATCATCATACTGCAACAAGCAGTTAAAAATATACTATTCACACTTTGCTAAGGATCAAATCATATTATTCAACAGAAAACTATGAAGTGGGGTCTATTATCTAAGCCTATTGAAAGCATGGATCCAAGTTTTTAGTATGTCACTGCATCTTGTGGATCCCCTACATGCTATTGACAGGTGTTGTGTACTTGTCAATGACCCATGCCATGATTTGCAAAATGGTTGATTGGTGCCATGAAAACCATTTTTATGGCTACTCATGTATCAAGAGCATACGGTTAGCTTAAAGTGGCTGTTTTCCTAAAGATGTGTTACCATATCATTATTTATCCAGTTTTAAATGGATACAATAGCAAATTATAAATCTACATTTAAGTAAAGTTGCGAATTTTTGTGATCCTCAGCAAAGTGTGAGTAGTAATATACTAACCCATTTATTGGCACACCAGATTAAAAGAACGAAGTGAGAGTTGTTAAGATGCTTACTCCTCAAAGAACAACCCGGGGTGGATCCTAATGTGTGACATTAAACTACTTATCAACTTAATCACCGATACCAATGTCCTCAGTATCGTATTTTATTAACTCCACTTCTCTCCTTCTCGTCACTAGACCGCCATAAACATTCCAACCCTAATATTATAAGCCCAGGATTACAAAGAGGGTTCCTTGAGCTCAGAGGCTAATGAGAAAATAGGTGTAATTTAGCCCATTTTCGTTACTGCCTTCTAAAACCACCCCAATCTACGCCATCATAAAAGAACCCAAACTCCCAGCCTTGCCGTTTAGGCTTCTGGATGGGCAAACAAACACAAGGCCATGACAGCAGATTTGGGACGACTTCAGGACGATTTGTCGAAATAACGTGTAATGTAGTCGTCCGTATCAATGAAAACAGTCACATCCTGGAAAGTGATTTATGGACTGTTGGTGCATGACTCCAGTTCACGTAGATCTTACAATGGACATGGACATTCCAGGCATACTGTAAAACACAAACTGAGCAGACGCGGTTTGTAACCTGGACATAATGAGGAACTGCAACAATTATTTTGGTGTAGGGAACAAGCGATAACCTTTCCCTGACCTTGTAAACATTGTAAAACCTTCAAATAATTAATGACCTAATGATGCCATTCTTTCCACGAAACAAACTTGACTGCTATTGTTAAGTGTAGAAATAAAATGATTGTAAAAGTTTTTTTATGATTTTATTTTGAAAGGAGACACACATTTAAACTTGACTGCTATTGTTAAGCAAAGATATAACAAGATTTATCATTTAGACTTTTGTGAGACTATTTGTGTGAGGACATTTTTGCCATAATTATCAAGCAATGAAAGGATCTGTTGTAATGATGAAGGTAGTAGCAACAGTAACCTCCAGTTCAAAGCTCAGAGCAAAAACAGTCCATGAGGAAGGAGTATATATCCTGAAACAACGAGGAAGGCCAAGTGTGTTCTAGTAGACTGAGGGGCGGTGGTGTAGTCTAGTGGTTAAAGCGTTTGCTCGTCACGCCGAAGATCCAGGTTCGCTTCCTGACATGGGTACAATGTGTGAAGCCCATTTCTGGTGTTCCCCTGCTGTGATTTTCCTGGAATATTGCTAAAAGTGACATAAAACAATACTCACTCTAGTGGACTGAACACATATTGGAACAGATTACCACAGCAGCCACTGAATGAACAAACTCCAGAAGATCATAATACTATAAGTATTTAAAATTTCGTATTCAAATACTATGATATAGAATTGGATTTATCATGACCAATATTTCGGCAAAGAGAGAGAGAGTAATTTTTAATATGCCTGATATGGATTTAAAATGTTTCTGTTTGCTGACATTGTCTGTTACATGACATTTTGTAATAAATTATGGACTCCTACCATGTGCCATCAACTGTCGACATCTGCTTTTATGGTTGATCTCACAAACCGGAGACATTTTGATCAATGTTTTATCTGAATAATGTAAATCCTTCTTCTAAAAATGATACTTCCTGTTATACTCTGAAGCTGTTGCATTAGATTCAAACATACTCGCTAAAGTTACAGCAAGTAAAATCAAAAACACAATTCAATGTTCTCAAAGTCACATCACTTATTGCAAAAAGTTTCAGCTGACACTATCAAATCCACAAGTTGTTCCTGAAAACGTTACATAGATGACATACTAACTACTGACAACTACTTCTACTTTGAGAATACACCATGGTTGGAAACTGATCAATGCTTTTTGTTTAATGTTCTCACTTGAGTGGATGATAATAGAAAAGACTGAAAGGAAGACAAAAAAGTTCCGACAGTTTAACCA